TGTGTTCGCTTCGGATTACTCCTCACCCCCCACCCGACCCTGTGGCTTGTCATGTCTTTCACAATGTTGTGCTGTGGACATTTATGCGCTTTTTGTGCAGGGGAGTTTTTTTTGTTTCCTGTACTCATGCTGTCCTACCATGGAAGCACAGCATGAGTAGAGGTCTCTTTTTTCCTCTTGTACTTTCCCCATTGTAGTGCACATTTCAGTGTTTTTCTGTAACACTACCGATCTCCGACTTGTATCCCCATGTAATGTCTGTGTTGTGTCTGTAAGGTCGGGGGGGTCCCATTTCACTGCAGGGCAACCTGCATGTGGCGAATGAAGCTTTGATTGATTGATTGATTGATTGATTGAGTAATAGCAACAGGGATGAGTCAGTGAGTCAGTTGGGTGTCAGTAAAGTGATTCTGGAGTATTGAACGATTCGTTCATTATTCGCACATCACTAAACCGAGCAGATATTTGAAGTTTACACACCCACATTCACAGGCACTGAAAAAATGTTAAAAGTTTCTTTTGTGACCCAGAAAGATTAATAAGAGTTGTTGTGATATTTTGATACCATGGTAGCATTTACAGGATATTGTTTTATAGTGATATTATACAGGAAAACTGTTACTCAATAAGGCCCATTTACTAGTTGTTTTTCTCTTTCTCTCTGACCCAAGAATTAATGTGTAAGAATCACAGGATGGTACCTCAAGGTCGAAAACACCACAGAGATCACTTCCTTACTCCCATCCTCCCTTCCTTATCCTTTAGAAAAGAGCTTGTTAAAGGCCAGGTGGTTTGTTTCAGAATTCACTAATGAAAGAACTCTGTATTCTATGTCTAGGAGTGTATTTTGCTGGAATGATCATAAATTGTAGCTGAACTGATAAACTACACAAAGGATACTTCTTTGCTCAGAAGGCAGGAAGACGTTTCCTTATTTGGTCTGTACTGGTTTGAACTGAGAATCTGCTGACACACGAACCTTTTTTTTTCCTCTATATAAACTGTTGTATACTGAATAAACCTTTGAGTTGATTTTGGAAGAGCAACCTGAAGCAGTTTCTGTGTCATTTTGTTCTCCCAAGCTACTCCCGGCGCTGTAACTAACCTGCTGAACGGCATACCTGAGCTTACTTTGAATAATTAATTTTATACAGAACTCTGCTTATCGGTGCTCACGCCTTGGAGAACCCGATCCATGGAGAAACCCGGGACGGAGATTTCTTTCAAGAGTAATTTTAAAACTTAGTAGCAGCCGCCATTGCTGGAAACTGGAGTTTGGCTGGGCCGCGCTATGAATTCTGGGATATGGTGGGCCACGAAAGGACACACCCGACCCATCCTTCAAATTCAGGGAAAAGGAGGATGCATTTGTCGGCTGCATTCAGAGTAGTCTATGAATTTGGACAGCCTTCGGCGCGTCACTGTGACGTAATTAGTCTACGAATGCGCCCTCAGCAGTGTTGCCAACTCCTCAGTAAGGAAAATCGCTATTGGTTGTCCTAAAAGTCGCTAGAAGTCGCTGAATGACGTCATCGCCTATTTTGCATAATTGATCATGCTAATCTAATTGTAACCTACGTTGTTGGAGAGAGAAATAACATCGTGGAAGAGACATAAAGTGAGTAAAAAACGTCCTAAATGCATTTAGAATTTATTTAGAACTACAAATTAAATTTCTTTTAGCAATTATTGGGATTTTTTAATGTCACAATTCCAACCCTGATGCTTTACCCGGGCTTGGACCAGCAAAAGTGACCCGAAATAGGCGCTCTGGTGGAGTTACTTTGTGTGTGGGTTCCAAGGCACTTGTAGCTATTCTGGTGGTACAATTTCTTCAGTTCTGACTACTTCTCTCTCTCTCGCGCTCTCTGATACCATCTGAGTATGTCCCCCCCAGTCCAAATGACATTCCAATGTTGTTGATGGGCCCTTCCTGTTCGACCATTACTGTACACCAGTATACAAAGCAAGGTCCATGGATGAGTGGGTTTGGTGTAGAAGAACTTGATGGTCCTGCACAGAGAGCACAAATGCTGCTGGCAGTCCTTATGTCCAAATATATCCCCTCACTTTCCTCTCTTCTCTTTCTCACACCTTTCTCTATCTCTGATTTAAGTTATCTCTTACTCTTTTCTCTCCTTGGGAAATACAGCAGGTGTACCTTTAGCTAGCACAGTGTGACAATGTGTCTTTGGTGATTTTTGTTCCTGCCATCTGAAGGTACTTATGGATATCTGGACCAAAAAGTCTGTTCCAGATGGTTCTGGCCTACTTTAAAGATATTTGTATTAAAATGTAAAAAAGTAAAAGGTTGTCTGAAGTCGTCTCAGTAAATAGTATTCTAAAACTAGAAAACAACAAATCCTCAAAGTTAATGATGTGTAGCACAGTTCAACTATTAGTGATTTTCAATTTATTCAAGATTTATTCAAGCCAAAGGCAAAGATTTATATATTTGTCTTGTACTTAAAAAAAAAATACAGTTTCACTACCACTCAGAGAATGACTGGGAAGTGTTAGCAGAATATCCAAATATCCTCATTTCAGTCTTCATCTCACTTTTGCCATCATTCAGCTAGTTACATATAAGATAAGATAAGGTCCCAGGTGTACAGTAAAACAGCAATAATCTGCCTATGGATGATTCATAATTAACACATTCACATTTGAAATGTAGAAAATATTAAGGATTATATAATCTATTTTATAATAATAACACAATTATATTATTATATAAAATACTTTTATCATTGTGCATCTTGATGTTTGGTTTAATCTGGTATTATTATGAAATTTAAGCCCCGATTCATCGTCATTAGACACAGAGTCTGTCATTAAAAACCAAACAAAAACTTCAATAGAGATGAAACTTTATTTTAGAAGAGAAGTGCTTACAAATATTCATATATTAAAGTACGGTGGACTGGACAGACTGATTGGCTGTCAGATGTGTGGCTGCCACGTAAGGCTCAAAACTTTGGTACATTCTAGCCAGACAGACAAGTGAGAGAACTGACAGAACTGTTTTCAGTACGAGAAGTATTTGAAGTGAATTTGTACATGAAATTTTACTCAGCTTCCTGCCAAAATGTATCTTTAGTCTCTAAAAATATAAAGAAGGAGAATATGTCTGTGAAGGTTCTCAGTCATCCAGGTCATCGTAGTCAAAGGAGCTTGCAAAGAAAAGCGTCTGGACTGGACACATCCTGGGCCATCTGACCTCAGGAAATCACATGATAAGGTGGGGCCAGGTTTCACAATGAACACACCTGAAACTCTGGCTGATTGGGACCCACACCCAGTTTCACACCTTGGCTCAGACGATTAGAGGATCATCAGGGGTCCTTTTGTCCCTCTGTGGGGGGAAACTCCCACTGGGTTTATATCTGGGACTCTCCACCATTTGACCTTAGAACTGAAGAAGCTTCTCGGATGAGAGGTGAAACGTCTTCAAGCAACTTAAAGAAGTCCAGACGCTTTTCTTTGCAAGCACCTTTGAATAAAGAAGGAGAACAGTAGGTCCAAGACAAAATCAATTTCAAATATTTAAAGCAGCAGGAGTGGTTCCAATGTTCTAAATAAATAACTGTGCACTAAATAATTTACACTGTTGAATGCCATCTAACACACATAAACCTCTCTGCACAGTAGCAGTCTGTATGTTGTTACTTCAGGCACACATCCAGTGGTGTAAACCCAGTGGGACACTCATTTCAGCAAGAAAAGAAAGTAGATGAAGAATTAAGCATGTTTACACAACACTCATATTACAAGAAAATAAGTCAGAACTAAAGGGACAGTGAAAAGTGATGAGAATATAGACACATTCAAAGTAAGTAAGTAATTGAGAACTTGTGTCAGCATTAATGATAGTACATCAGAATTACTCAGAAATATTTAGTTTCATTAAGGGCAACTTTTTCATGCACTGCTTTTAGGTTCCTTTTTAGTCTTTAATATTCTGTGCATGAAATAATAATATAAACCAAAGTCCAGGACTAAAGATTTGACTTGTTTTTCTGTGGTAGTGCAGTGCATGCTTAAATTTATACTGCATCCTAAGTGAAGATCTGAATATACAAAAGAGAATAAACTAACTGCAAAGTCCTTCGAACTGGATTTTATGGGTAATGTTCATGCTTCTACCATTACAGAGTTTTTACTGCTGAATGACTGAAGAAGGTCCAGGTGCTTAATTGGCTGACATCTAAGTCTTTCATCAGTGAAAAACATTTGATACATGAGGAAGTGAAAAACACAACAAAGAAGACTTAAGTAACTAGAATCCTATATCAGACAAGGAGATAACATTCCTTTTCCAAAGACTCACTCAATAGTGATAAACATGACACGATCCCGTCTTAATTTTTATGAGATGTGTTTCTGCCATTAAATTCAAATTGACAAATTTTCTGTCTTAATTTATATTTTACATAGCATCCTAATGTTTTGAAGACTGGGGTTGTAAAAGTAAAATGATAAATTGATGATCATATATTGGTTGTCAATATAGTAACTCAGGTAAGTGGTGACCAAATATGTTTTTGCCAACAGATCCAGATCTGGTAGAGATATCACAATCTACACTGTAAAGCTAGCTAGTTAGTTCAGATCACACATGTCACTCCTGCATCATTAGAAAACGAGTTAAACAACAGGGTAGCTGCAATACCAAAAATGTCTGACTACACTCCAGAATTAGCTGAGGACAAAGTCCACTGAAAAACAAAACAAAATTACCTTAGGTCTACCTCAGCTTTTTAATAAATAAATGCACAACCTACACATAGTGAAGTTACTACATCACAATAACATGCTGTATTACAAGTGCATTGTAGAGACACATAGTCTTGGATGGTCCTTATAGTCCTCCAAGATCCAGCCAAACTCAGTTAAAGAAGTAGAATCAGGTCAATATTCGCAGGGAAGGCAGTGGCTGCAGGTTCTTTAATTGGTCTAACCATTTTAACCTCCTTGATTCCCCCCCCCCCCCCCCCCCCCCCCCCCAAAAAAAAAATTTAAAAAAACTCAGGCGCCCTTGACCTCTGATTGGTCAGATCTTGGCAGTTCCAGTCAGAGTCCTAAAGCGAGCGCAGGTCTTCATTTGTCATGTCACATAGGTGAAAGCAAGTTATTAAGTAGGTGTGAAGTACATGCAGGTGCAACAAAAAAGGTTTACCTTTGTACACAAAACATTTCAAAGGGTCAGATCCTGTAACAAAACATCCTGTTATAAATTTAAATCAGGAGTTGGACTTCAAAATCTGACTTTTAAACGTCACTATCAGCAGCAGTCTTCCAGGGGCAGACGCAGGGTAAACTGGGATATGGGGGAGACGAGAATCTCATTCCAGTCCAAAGGTGCTGGTCTCTTCCACAGCAGTCAGCAGCTTCTCATACAGCACTGAGAAAGATGGGTACGGTGGTAGGTCCAGCCGGTTGAAGCAGGTGTGAGCTCTGGAGAACAGAGCAGAGACAGTGTTGTTCATCAGCAAATGCTTGAACAGAAGCCACAGTGTGTATTCTGGATGTATTAAAGCACAGGCCACTGACAGGATACATAGAGAAGCTCAAATCTAAGAAAAATCAGGTTTTATTATCATAATTACTACAGTGCATGACCGAAATAAGTGCCTGGAAATGCAGAGAACTTTAATATTTAATATCATAGACACAGAAATAACTAGGATTACCCCAGCAAACTAAATGTGGGGCACAAAGTTTGACTGTGTGAGAATATTACCATTTCTTCTTTTTGCATTAACATTTACAGACGTGACAGACAGACAAAAAACATGTCAACGTTAAGAAACTCAACTGAAAAGAGAGAAAAATAAACAAATTAAAAAACATATTGTTGCACCTGTATGTGTAATCATAGCATGTTTCTGTGAAGACTAAGTATCTTTCAAGTTCTTTTCTAGTATAGCACATATATACATAATAATACATTTTTGATTAGAACCAGAAATCCTATCACTATTGTATCATATCAAAATTACCCCTACATGGAGAAAGAAGGAGAGCACCTCTGATTAAAAAAATATTACATTTTGACCACTAATTATCATTTTTATCAGTTAAATGTTTAAAGGAAAATTTCATTCTTTCCATTGCATGTATATGTTATACAGTCTCTATCCTATCTATCCTAACAATCTTCAATAGTCGGACATGTGATATGAAAAATCTTAAAATGCTCTTCCCAATTACTCCTTTGCATGTTTCTGAATTTGAGGTGTAGCAGCATTTCTTATACATATTAAGCCAGTCATTTTTATTTATTTTATATTTGCATCTTTCTCCCTAAATGTACGAGGTAGATAAAAGTAGATCGACGTTTTTTCCTTCTCGCAGAGACTCGAAATAAGTTTCCCCTTTGTGTTGCCTTCATATGAGTTCACAAAAATAGTGATCAGACCAGATTCTTTACCTTGTGTAATTGTGTCTTTTTTGAAGATGTCTAAAAAACATCCTCTTTTTCTAAATTACATTTATTAGAATGTTTTTGGAAGGAATCCAGGCCTTCTTCAGATGATACATAATGCCATATGAAGTGATTCCATTCTCTACCCATTTTTTTAATCTGCCATCTAATTCTGCTGGAAGCAATTCTGACAATAGTGAAGTCAGGCTGCCTTGTAATAATTTTCTAGGCAATGCAGAGCTATCCCTCTCTCCTCTTTGGTTAACTGCAGAGGTAGGAAGTAATGAATACAAAAAATACAAAAAATACAAAAATGTGTTTCTGGAAAATTGCCCAATACTTAAAATTACTTGATGTAATTATATCATTGTTTCCTGCAAAAACCTGACTTGTTACCAGTACGTATACACCTTTCTGGATTGAATTGTCATTATTATAATTATTTTTTGCACATATTTTGACCAGCTAATAGTCAATTTCAGGCTTTTATCTTTAATAGTTTTGAGATATTTATATGTAAACAATTTTTTTCAAAGTGCAAACAAAAAGAACAAAACCATAACATTTTTACACAAATCTGAGATGGTTGGTATTTACTAGAGATGGCACGATACCACTTTTTTATGTCCGATACCGATACCGATATCATAAATTTGGATATCTGCCGATACCGATATGAATCCGATATAGTGTTTTTTAATCAACAAAACTGTTTTTTTAATATCTTGCTGCATTTTGCATAAGTTCATACTCAAGTTTAAAACAACAACTACACTAAAGCTATTCTGTTATACCTGTATGCAAAAAAAAATATTTCATAGTTCAGCAATACTGATCAATCTAATAAACTTAAACCTACACCATCCTCCCTATTCTGGTATTTTAAAGAGTACTTAGCGTAAATATTAAGCAGCCTAACTAATAGGGTTCCAACTCCCAGCAACAACAAAAATAAATAAATAAAAAATAGGGAACCACCCCTCACGCTCCACCTCATGATGCTTAATCGACGTAATCAACCTTAATTTGATGCAGTGTGAAAAAAAATGCACAGAAATCAATTATTTTTCAAGAAATATTAAATAGATTCAACATCTTTCTTCAACAAAATTGCAGACTGCACAGATGGTACCTTCCCAAAGTAAAAAGTACTATAGCTTACTAGGGTATATATATTAGACTTAATAGTCACTATATACAGTAATTGACTTCTATTCATTTTACATCAAATTAAAACTTTGGGTGTCAGATAATTATTTATTAAAAGCTAGACATTTTAAATGAGAATAAGAAAGAAAAGTATGTCTTTGTGCCCCCTTTTCCCTGTTCATGCCCTATCGGCCCCCCTGGCTAAACTTTGCAAGATCCGCCCCTGCACAGTTACCAGCCGTCAGCTACGTAGAAAAGATCCTCGAGTAGAAAGTTATATTAAATACATTCTAACAACAGCTTATCAAGCTTAAACGTGCTGCTGTTGTTCAGCCGCTGGTTTCCTCTTTCTGGTGCAAAGTGGGCCAAAAACAAAGACGGACTCGCGACAGAAAAGCCGATCAGCTGATCATTAAGCAGTTTCATGATTGAAGTAGCAGCCGGAGAGCGAGAGGCAGTCGCTCGTTAAGCTTAACGCAGGAATGCTTTACAAACATTCAGAGATGGACTTACACACTTGCTTTACTTCTCTCGGGATAACTTTGTCGGAGATGAAATGCCAGGTTGCTAGCGAAGCTCCAAATGCTATCCAGACCACAGGTCCCGCATGCCACAGCCGCTCTATCACGTGATGCATACTGCTCCGACGTGCTAACGTTCTGAGGTGAGTTACGGCGTGTTGCAAGTTTTGTGAGGTGCTTTCGTGATATTTAATGGATCGGATTACATTTTTTATTTTTCTCCGATATCCGATCCAGTAATTTAGGTCAGTATCGGACCGATACCGATACGTAATATCGGATCGGTCCATCTCTAGTATTTACCTGGGTAGGGAGGTGACTTTACCCCACTTCTCCACACAGAACCTACGGGGTCCATTGCTGCCTCGCAGAGAAGCAAAACCCTCATATGGAATGCTGGATGTCCCAGTCACAAACTGAGGATATAAGGTGAGAGACAACAAGTAGAAAAAAGACATGCGGATAAGAACACCAAGAAAGAACTGCAGTGTTACATCTTTGTTTGTTGTTATTGTTGTTTTTAATAAAAAGCCTCTTTAACTAAAACAAAAAAGCCTACCTGTAGGAGCCGCAATCTCTGCTCATTATTGAATCTCTCCACCGCTGCCCAGAACCACCGGATCACAATGTGGTTATCATGGTAACCTAAACACAACATTTCATGTTTTGTCAAAATGTCATGGTAATAGGACTATAATGAAAGCCAAAAAACCAAAGCTCAAGTCTGAGTGAATCAAGGGATGAGCTTTTTGAAACCTTATTCTTAGTAAAAGTCGCCGAAGTTGTTAAAGTTTTTTTAAATCCTTTTTTAAGTGATGTATTTATTTTTTCATTTTAAACCACAATGACAAAAAAATCAAAATCAGAAAACCACCACGAAAACAAAACACAGCAAAACAACAAATGTCTTGATGCATGCTGAAGTTGATCCAGTTCATCTGGACGTTTTGACGTTTTTAGTGGGAGAAAAGTTTCATCACTCATCCAAGTGACTTCTTCATTCTCAGCTGAAGGCAGCAGTTGTTGTTGAGATGCAGTTGTTGTCTCTGTGGCTTTCAAATCCCAAAAACTGGTCCACCTGAACGATCCGGTCCCATGGCACAAATAGAGTAATATAGTGTACACTGTTCAGTCGAATGATTTATAAATCGGGGAAACCAAACAACCTCTCGACAGCCCAGGACTCTGCAGTCTACAGGCCAGTGGCCACTCTGTTAATGATGAGGATGTAACATCCTGGACAGGGAGAAACGCAGTTTGAGTGGGGAGTCAAGGAGGCCATTTAGATGAAAAAGGAAAGACCATCTCTGAATCGATGAGGGGGCCTAAGGGTACATCTGTCACCATCTTACAAGGCTGTGATTGCAGCCATTCCCCAACTCTCTGTGAATAGTTCTCATGGCGATTGATCAGTGGTCTTTGATCATCAATGGTCATTACAATTTGCAGTCTTTTGAATATGTGGCTTTACAGCTGAAGGCCTCATCCAGAGTTGTGTTTCTTAATGTTTACAGGCCTCCCAAATACTGTGCAGACTCTTTTAATGATCTCAGTGAACTGCTGTCTGTGATCTGTGTTGATTTTGACTGTGTAATTATTGTTGGGGATTTTAACATACATGTGGACAACCCTCAGGACAAAGGGACTAAAGACCCTGAAAGTAAAATTTCAGCGCACACAAATACATCAACAGCAGTGATCACAAAACGGTGTATAACTGAAGACAGTAGTCAGATCTTTAACCAGGTCTTCCCATTAACACCTGACCTGCCCAGAGGGTCAGTCAATGAGCTCGTCAATAGCTTCAATGCTAACATGTTAAATGTAATGGACACTATTGCTCCCATTAAGGTGAAGGTTATCTCTGGAAGGAAAAAGTCTCCATGGAGAAACTCCACACTGGTGAAAAATGAAAAAAGAGAGTGTAGGAAAGCTGAGCGCAGATGGAGAAAAACAAACCTCCAGGTTCATTATGACATCTATAAAGAGAAACTTCACAGTTATAATTTACAACTGAGGAGTGCAAGGAGGTCCTACTTCTCTGACATCATCACTAAAAACAGCCATAATGCTCGGGTCGTATTTTCTACAGTTGACAGGCTAACAAACCCTCCTGTGCCAGTGGCAGCTGAACTTCAACCATGGCCTGCAATGACTTTGCCAAATTCTTCACAGACAAAATCCAAAAGATTAGACAAGCAATTGGTACATCAACAGCAGATCCAGGATATGTACTGTGTCCACCGAAAAACTGTTTAAACACCATGAAACAGTTTCACCCTATTAACAGCAAAGACCTGGAGGACATCTTAGGTCAACTGAACTCCTCCTCTTGCTGTTTAGATGTCCTGCCAACAAGTTTTTTCAAAAAGGTCTCAAAGACTTTAGAGTCAGACCTGTTACAAATCGTCAACTTTTCTTTATTATCAGGTGTGTTTCCAGAATCACTAAAAACTGCTTTAATCAAACCTATACTGAAAAAGGACAATCTTGACAAGACACAAATGAACAACTACAGGCCGGTCTCAAATCTCCCGTTTTTAAGTAAGATCATTGAAAAAGCAGTTTCTCAACAGCTCAATTACTTCTTAAAACAGAATAATTGCTACGATGCCTTCCAGTCAGGTTTTAGACAGAACCACAGCACTGAAACCGCTCTGACCAAAGTGTTTAATGACATATGTCTGAATACAGACAGTGGAAAAATGTCAGTCTTAGTTTTACTGGATCTCAGTGCAGCATTTGATACAGTTGACCACAACATATTACTCAAACGACTGGAGAACTGGGCAGGTCTTTCAGGAACTGTACTAAACTGGTTCAAAACATACGTAGAAAACAGGAAATACTTTGTATCAATAGGTAACTTCACATCTGAGCAGACAAGTATCACATGTGGAGTTCCCCAAGGTTCCATCTTGGGACCCCTTCTGTTTAACATCTACATGCTCCCACTGGCACAGATTATAAAGAACAACAAAATAAACTATCACAGCTATGCAGATGACACACAAATATATATCACAATGTCACCAGGAGGCCGAGGCCCTGTACAGGCTCTTGGTAAATGCATTGAGGAAATTAATGACTGGTTGTGCCACAATTTTCTCCAGCTAAACAAAAACAAACTGAGGTAATAGTCTTTGGCGCCAAAGAAAAACGATTACAGGTCACCAGAGAACTTCAATCTATACATCTAAAAACCACAAACCAGGCGAGAAATTTGGGTGTAGTGATGGATGCAGACCTAAACTTAGAAAAACACATTAAGACAATAACAAAGTCAGCTTACTATCACCTCAAGAATATATCAAGGATAAAAGATCTGATGTCTCAACAGGACCTGGAAAAACTGACCCAATTTGTCTCAGGGTCACTTTTCTGTTTACACGCAGACAGGCGCTCGTGTGTGTGTGTGTGTGTGTGTGTGTGTGTGTGTGTGTGTGTGTGTGTGTGTGTGTGTGTGTGTGTGGTGCCACTGGCTGGAGTCGCTATAGCAACCAGGCTCACACCTGCCTGCTTAATGAGCTCTGTCTCTGTGTGTTCATTGTGAAACCTGGCCCCACCATATCATGTGATTTCCTGAGGTCAGATGGCCCAGGATGTGAGTGGGCGTTAAGGCGTCTGGGAAGGATCTCAAAACTGGATTATAGATGGCAGACAGTTGGTGTGTTAAGCCCCGCCCTCTGTTCAAAGATGGTCGCTCACAGTGGACATAGATGGCTTCTTTCACTCCTCTTTCAATGAGCTCACCTGAAACTCTGGCTGATTGGGACCCACACCCGCTTTCACACCTTGGCTCAGGCGATTAGAGGATCATCAGGGGGTCCTTTTGTCCCTCTGTGGGGGGAAACTCCCACGGGGTTTAAATGTGGGACTCTCCACCATTTGACCTTAGAACTGAAGAAGCTTCTCGGATGAGAGGTGAAACGTCTTCAAGCAACTCAAAGAAGTCCAGACGCTTTTCTCTCCAAGCTCCTTAGACTAGACCTGGATGACTGAGAACCTTCACAGACACAGTATGTCTGTAGTTAGTGCAGGCCATCTGATCAGAGCATTCTGCTTGGCCCGTTAAATTCAAGCTTATTGTTCATCGGTGGATTTGTCTTCTGCACACAGGTGGTTCAGATCTGGGCAGTTGGAGTCAGATGATGACTTTTAGAATCATCTTTTCTGACTGAATGACTAGAACTTGCAGCATTTACCTGTCTGTAGTGAATCCTCCCACATTTCAGTCATTCAGTGATTAAAAGAATATGAACTTTTAATATTCATTCAGATGTTTTCTGACTCTAAATTTCTTTTGTCATTACTCAGCTTTTTCTAATATAAATTTTAAACATGTTCAGCTACTTTTCAACTTCTTCTGTGTGAACGTCAGCTTTCAACAGTTCTGCACTTTCGTTTTCAGGTGAAGAATTCAGAACAACATTCAGCAACATTCATTTCAGCTCAAAACATTCAGCTATCAGCATTCACGCTGCAGTGTCTTTAGAAAATGCATTTTTCTAGTTACCTTTTGTTTCCAGCTTCTTATTGGTTGTTACATGAATTTAATGCTAGTATTTCTCAAACATAAAACTGCGACTGTAATAAATAACTAATAGCAGGTAATAGCTTCTCTTTCCCCTGGGTCACAGGTTGGCAGTTTGCATAACTCTATTAACACACATGCTATATGTATTCATTTATCCTCCCCCAGTTAGATCTGTGATCCACCTGTCTGTCCCCAGCTGATCCTTTTCTCCTGTTCTTTTGATGTTGAAGTTTGCTGACACCTGCCTTAGTTAATTGTAAGGACAACACTTTATCTTAAACTTTATCTAAAGGTTTAAACAAATCTATCCTGAAAAACAAACATTCATTCTTAGCTTCCTCCACACCTCCTCTGTACTCAGTGTTGTTCCTCCAGTCTGTTAAGTCAATTTCCGCAGTGCCTGCAATTACCAGCTCCAGTTCCCTAGCATCAAACACAGACACCAACCTGGCATCCACCACCTGCAAAAACATTCAAAATGTAAAACAGTGAGATCTTTTTTACACTGTACATTTAGGGGCACTAGAGATAAACTGGGTGATGCATAACATGTGAAATATATATAAAACTCTGTCACACTAAGCCATACCTCATAGAAGCCTCTGACCAAGCTTTCAGTCTGGTGCACCACTCCTCTCTCTATCCTCCACTTTACCATGCGCTCAATGTATTCCTTCTTGTTCTTCTCTGAGACAGGAATGTTGGCTCCACCGGGCTTCAGCTCCCTTTCTGTTATCTATGGCAAAACACAATTATTTGGTGGATATCAGGGATTGTTTCCTTTCTAAATCATGAACGGTTAACGAGATTCAAGCTAGAGTGTCTTTCCTCCTCCTCTGCACCACTGTTCAAACTGCAGGAGAATCACTTTTCGTTCTCAAATCCAATTTCGAGATTTTCTACCCTGTTATTTGCAACAGCGTATATTGGCAGTACATTCTGTATCTTCACATATATCCAACAACATTTTTCTAAGTGTTTCGATGATGAAAGTAAATCTAGTATCTTATTTTTCAATTATCTTACATTGGCTCTTTCTTACTTGGCTCTTGGTGAAGGCGGTCGCACTTTTCTCCTCTCCTCCTTCCCCTTATCTTCCCTGCTTAGCCTCTTGTGTCCTGTCTTGTCTCGCGTGCACTACTTTTCCCTTGAACAGTCTCTCACTGTCGTTCTCTAAAACCTAACAGAGAATTATGGATTTGATCAACTGGTCTCTGAACGCTATTGACACCCTCTTCTCAACGAGAAGTCTGGGCTCGGGAGAGCCCGAGTGCCCTGGAGGGACTTTCCCTGCCAGATACACGATGGATGGGTGGCAAACCTGGAGGATCTTGTGCCTGGCGGGACTGTCTATCGAGGACGCTGAGGATATCTACCTATTCGGAACCATGATAACAGGGTTCTTGCTGATCGGAGCTGGCTTGGCCCTGACTTATCGGAGAAATAAGAGAGCGGAACCGGCTGTTCAAACCCCCCCTAAGCTGACCGCTGGAATTGAAGCGATGGGATGAGGCGCGGCCTCCCACACCGAACGCAGCATGGTCAACACCTTGGAGACGCTTACAGCTGCCGTGAAGACTCAAACTAACACCATTGAGCGTATGAGGGGATACATTAGAGAGAGGCCTGCTCACAATAACACCCTTGAGCGAAAGTTGGATAACATCGCAGAACGGCTCACTGCAGCTGTGGGGTCTCAGAACCAAAAGAATGACAACACCACGGAACAGAAGTTTGATACCATCATGGGGAGGCTCGCAGCGCTCCAACGGGAAATCGAGGCCCCAGTGTCGGAGTGCTAAATTCGCTGCTCGCATAAAGGAGAAATCAACAATATTCTACATTTGGACACCACGGCGCCAGCTGCTAGGCCCCAGGCTGGAGCCCACCAAAACAACTCCCTGATAACGACTGTGTGATGACTATTCTTCCCATCCCATGAAGGACACCTGGATTGGCTGGAGGACTGTTTAATTAGCCTGATACAGCGAAGGACACTGTCTCAGCTGAACTATGGACACGCACACACATACACTTACACTGATAAGCACGCACTCATCCCCCTCCCTTCCAAACGCCTTCGATGCTTGTTCCTGTGGGGGAAGGCAGCGGGTCTGCGTGCCGCGCTGAAATGGTAGCATGGTGCAGGACGACTGCTGTGTTCCTTCAAATCACCCCCCACCCCCCTATCCATCCCCTGTGGCTTGTCATGTGCTCTGATGTTGTGATGTGGACATTAATGTGCTCTCTGTGCAGAGGAGTTTTTTTGTTTCCTGTTCTCATGCTGTCCTCCCATAGGTTGCCCAGCGTGTGAAGAGGTCTCTTTTTTTTCCTCTTGTACTCTTCCCAATGTTGTGTAATTTTTTTCAGTGTTATTCTCCCAACGCTGCCGATCTCCGACTGTATTCCCTTGTGTTGTCTTGTTGTTGTGTGTGTAAGTCGGGGGGGGTCCTATTCCTCTGTGGGGCAACCTGCATATGGCCAATAAAGCATTCATTCATTCATTCATTCATTATATTCACTTACAGACGTGAACAGCATGCTACCTGACTGGACAGTGCTGTGCAACACCCACATTACCAAACTTGGTGTTGGTGACAGCATGTGATGTTGTCTGGTGTTGCAGATTGCCCACCCTTGGTTGGTCAAGTTTGTTTATTTGTTGGTCAGAATTGTTTAGGCCCCATGAAGACCTCTAGTGAATAAAGTTAACAAAAACTCAAAGTAAATGAAACGACTGTAAAATAATGAAAAAGGATTGATAAAACTGGCAAATCACTCGGTAACCTTCATCCACTGGAGAGACGGGTGAGACTCCTTACACTGCCAAGGCATCTGGGATGTTGGCTTGGTGTGAGGCCAGGATTGTACCCAAGTTGTGTATTTTAATTTGGTAATTGGACTGGTGCTTTTCTACTCTACCTGAGCACTCAAAGCCCTCAATACAATTTGCCTCAGTCACCAACTCACACAAGCACTCTGCTTTCTCTAAGTCACGTTGAACTATCTAACATTCACACATAAGTATCGTATTTGGCATGTCGACCGAAGCAGCCAGGGAACCACCAACCATCCGATTAATAGATGGCCTGCTCTACGTCCTGAGCAACAGCCACCCCCATTTGTTGAAAGTATAGTTGGTGTACACACACACACAAGCACGCACACACCTACATACACTGACCTGTCCAAAAACTTCTTCATTGACAGTGAAGGAGAGGTCCAGCATATCGTCTATGTCGTTGTCCTTCATCCACTGAAGAGACTGGTGAAACTCTTCATCCAAATACTCCAGATCACTCAGGTCACAGGGACTACAAGTTGGGAAAGGCAGATAATGTGTGTCTGCTGTCTTAGACCCACATACAGATTAACTTATCCTCACACTGGCTCTTGTTCACAGTTAAAATCTGTTTAAAAATGTACATATATATATTTCAGCAAACTGTGTATACATTAGTCACTTTGTTAAGTACGTATTTCTAGTACTGAGGTGGACCCCTGTTGCATTCAGAACTGCCATAATTCTTGATGCCAGACATTCAACAAGATGCTAGAAACATTCCTCACAGATTTTGACAGGAGTGGCACCTGGTGTAGTGCATCTGCACCAAGCTCCTCTGCCTGCTTTGGTTGGTTGGTTATTTTCACATTACTATCAGCTTGAAGTGCTCTGGCCATTGTCCTTTGACCTCTGGCATCAACACATGTTCAGAGAACAGCCACTCACAGGATATTCTATATTTGTCATACTATTCTCTGTAAATCCTAGATTCCCAGCTTTTGAAATAGCAGACCAGCCGGTGTGACACTAAAAACAATGACACTTCAAAGTAACTTAATCACCTCTCTTGTCCATTCTGATGGTTGTTGCGACCATGTCTACAAGCATTAAGTTGCTGTCACATTATTGGCTCAATAGGTGCGCTGGACAGCTGTCAGAAGACTGCTGTGGCTGGTGTGGTTTGGGGTTCAGCTGCAGGGGAAGGGGACAGCGTCAGGGCAGAAACAGCTGATTCTGATTGGACTGATTGTTTTTTCCTCTCCTTATTTTAATATCTGCTGGGGCCTGGAGAGTAGGGATCGGCCCAAGGCTGAAGAAATGCCAAGAGGGCTGGAGATGGGCTGGGTTGGCGTGTGCTGTAAACACACACTGACCCAGAACACACTTCTATAGCAGCTATAGTTATAGCTGCAGTATGTTGGCCCACAAAATATTAAACCCTGGATTAAGAATGTGATATCACTCAAGACGAGTGAAAACATAGAATATATGTGTTAACGAGCAGCTGCTCAGGCGTACCTAACAAAATGGCAGGTGGGCGTATACATACAGACATTTCATGTGCATTTGAGTATTGTGTGTCAACATACATCCGAAGTAGGCCTTTATAAAAGGGTCTGGTGAAGAAGGCATCCAGCAGGTACTGATGGATCAGAGCCATTCCCAAAATGCGACCACTGAATCGGAACCTGAGGCACACACAAACACAAAAGTTAAATACTGTGTGTGTGTGTGTGTGTGTGTGTGTGTGTGTGTGTGTGTGTGTGTGTGTGTGTGTGTGTGTTTGGGCGGGGTTTCAAATTGACTTTTACCACTCATGGTGATTGTCAACGAAGGCAGACATGGGACTGATCTGAACGGTGTAGGTGTCATTGGCAGAGTACTCAAACAGACCATAATAAGGGTTAAACAGTTCTCTGGAAACCAAGAAGAAAAATTCTCTCGAGGGCCCGCTGTAGTCCAACCTGAAACACACACATTTAGACTTTAGATTTCCTTTCTTTCTTTTCTTCCCTTCCTTGCCCCTCCCAGACACTCACCCCTCCTCTCCGACAAAGCTAACATAGAGCTTGCTCCGCTGTAGGTCTTTCCGGGAGTAACACATGATTTGGTTGAAGGCATCTTCCAGGAGTTGGTCGCGACGGATGATCAGTCTAAGACAGACAGACAAGAGTGAAGACAGACAACTCCCAGCAGACAAAGAGTGCTGTATTTATCGGAACATAAGGCGCATTAAGCGAAACAAAACAGGCAGATAAGTCAAACTTTACTCAGTTGATTTTTTTTGCTTGCTTCATTTTCGTACCATTGACTCATTAATGTCATATTCTCTCCAGCTGCTCTATTCCCCTGTTGTTGCAGTATATTAATGACTAACCTCGTATTGTGGATGGATTATCTCAGTTGTTCTCCTGACTGAAGTTTGGTCCGTTTACAGCATCCTGCCATGTGATTACATTTGTCCCTAACCATCAGGAACCCTCACGTTAACTTTCATCGAGTGGAAAAAGGTTAGTGTTCTTCCTCTAACTTCACTGTGTTTATGTTATAATAATGATAATAATAATGATACATTTTATTTGAGGGCGCCTTTCTAAAACCCAAGGTCACCTTACAAGAGAAAAAGACATCAAATAAAATAGTAGATTAAAATAGATTCTAATAAATTAAAATACAGAAAACCACAAACAACAAATTAAAAACAAACAAACAAAAAACAAAAAAACATGATTTGACAGCAAGTAAAATCTGTATTAAAGCGAGTAAGCCAGTTCAAACAAGTAGGTTTTGAGTTGTGATTTAAATAAGGGAAGGGGATCCATATTTCTTAAGGCTGAAGGAAGTGAGTTCCAGAGCCGAGGAGCAGGGCGACTGAAAGCTCTGAGCCCCACAGTGGTGAGGCGAGCAGAAGGAACAACAAGATGAGTGGCAGATGAAGATCTGAGAGAGCGGGAAACTGTGGTGATATGAAGCAGATCACAGAGATAACGAGGGGCAAGGTTATGAATACACTTAAACGTGAGAGCTAAGATTTTTATCCTGGCTTCTATGGGCAACCAGTGAAGCTGTTGAAGAATTGGGGTCATCTGGTCTCATAAGGGAGTGCGAGTTATGACCCAGGCAGCAGAATTCTGAAGAAGTTGAAGTTTATGGAGGGACTTATTGGGGAGACCAAATAGGAGGGAGTTGCAATAATCGATCCGGGAAGTAATAAGACTGTGGACGAGGACGGCAGCAGCATGGAGAGTAAGGAAGGGACGGAGTCGGCTAATGTTACGTAAGTGGAAGTAAGCAGACCGGGTTATGTAATTCATGTGAGACTGGAATGAGAGAGTATTATCAAGTATGACACCCAAACTCTTAACCTGAGGGGAGGGGAGGGTGGGAGAACTTTCAATGTTAATGGAACAACTGTGGTTAAGGTAGAGGCCGTGCCAACAAGTAAAACTTCTGTTTTATTACTGTTAAGGTTGAGAAAATCGGAGGAGAACCAGGATCTAATCTCCATAAGACAGTTTGAGAGGGAGGTAGGTGGGAGGGATGAATTGGGTTTGGAGGAAATGTAGAGCTGGGTGTCATCAGAATAGCAGGTCATTGGTAATCCTTAACAAGGCAGTTTCTGTACTATGATGGGGCGGAAACCAGATTGAAATTGTTCGTAGAGATTATGGTTATTGAGGTATGAGTGAAGCTGAGAGGCAACAACTTTCTCAAGGATCTTTGAAATAAAGGGGAGCTTGGATATAGGACGGAGGTTATCAAACCTATTGGTTTTTGAGAATTGGAGTGACAGAAGCAGTTTTCAGGGATGGAGGAATAACTCCAGTGTTAAGGGAGTTATGCTAACTTAGCGATCACATAGCACAGGGGTCGGCAAGCTGCAACTCCGGGGCCACATGCGGCTCTTTAGTCCTTATAGTGCGGCTCTGCGTGGTTTGGGAAAATAAATTAGAAGCTATTAGCTGAAGTGTATTTTATTTATATTCTTTTTTAACTTGTAGTTCTAAATTGGAAGATTATTGTGATATTGAAATATAAAAATGAAATTATATTATATTATTTTTTCATCGCTCAAAATAAGCGTCACACTCGTGGAAGCCGGTGTACCCGCCGAAACGCTGTGCATTTATCGAGACTTTCAGCCCCAGGTAGGTCAGTTATGGATCTTCAGATCCACATTATGTCAGCAGCTGTTCTCCACCGTGAACATGAGAGGTTTTTGGACCAATTGTGTGTTCTCCATTCTTTAAGCACCGTTTAAGCACCGGCACCGTTTCAAAAGTACCGGTTTGGTACTGGTATCGGATAAGACCTAAACGATACCCATCCCCAGGTAAAATACATATTTAGGCAGAATTTTGCAAATATCTATTTTTCGTTTTTTAGCAGCATAGTGCTTTTTTTCCCAATTATTTTTTAAAAGTCAGGTCAAGGCTCCAAAAGCACAAAGGCGATATAAGGGTGGCGGCTCACAGCAGTTTTTGTTTGCTGGATCATTTTAGTTCAGCTGGGTGTCTTTCCTTTGGTTATATTTCTTTAAGAGTTCAAATGTGTTCATTACATAAATAAAATGTAATTTTCTCTGTAGCACTTCATGGATTTCATAAGCAACACACCTTAGTTGTTCAAACAAAGCATAAAGGTAAAACAACAATACATACAGTGTTATCTTCATTCTAGATGTCAGAAAGTATTCGCGGCTCCCAGTGTTTTCTTTTGCGTGGAAACTGGGTCCAAATGGCTCTTTGGGTCTTAAAGGCTGCTGACCCCTGGGTTAGCACATCATTATATACCAGCTAGCCCAACTTCAGTAACCCTACAAATGTCACTGCTGTTTAGTTTTCTGTCTTCATTTATGTTTTAAGTGACAGCAGAGCTGTACGTTTGAATTTTTCAGAAATCTCTCAGTCAGAACATGCTCATGTTTAGGTGGAAGCTAGCGAGCTAACTTCCTGCTAACTTCTAACTCCGTTAATTGTAATAAATACTTGTAATTGTTACACCTGGTAAAGCAGCAACACTGATCATTTTATTAAAGATAAAAGAATTTAGACAGAATTTGGACCTGAAGCCGACGGTGTTTTGGACCCAGATTCCTCCGCGAGGCGCCTGACTACAGTAGCCATAATGCTCCAACAATCCATCCAGTGGTGCGGCTTTGTAGCTTTGCAAAGTCCTGCTAAAACATTTTCTAACAGATTTCTGAGCGCCGTGTACTGCAATAAATCGGTTTCGTTGTCAGTAAGCACAACCAGAATTCATACATAAGCGCACCCGATGTGTAAGTGTGCCTTACAGTGCTGAAAATACGGTAAATAAAAAATGATGAGAAAGGATGCCTTCTACAGTCAAAGCTGCTGACTTACTTTAGCTTCCCTGGTCCTTGTCCATAGCCCTTAGTTTCCAGTTTCCTGTAGAAGTTTCGCAGTTTTGCCTCAAAGTCTCTCTTGTAGGGTGCTGGTGCTCTGGCATTAGCTCTCTGAGTACCTACGCACACACTTAAATGTTTACTTTGATGGGTTATGTCAACAAGCTGACAGATAAAGCAGAAATTTCATTTATATGTGCAGAATTCTACCAAGCAAGAATATGCCAATTAATTTCGTCACATGCACAACAACAGTGGTGCAGCTGTCATACAAGGGTGTTTATTTGTAACCTGGGTTGCAGGTTCAGCTTCTGCACTTTACAGACAATGAACTGATCAGTTAAATCTGTGATTAGTGAACAACCTGCTCTAACATGACTAGCTGTGTTCTGATTTTACCAATGGTTGTCAGAAACATTAAGTCTTTATTGTTGGTGTGAAAAGTCATTCATTTTAGCTCAGAGCTCAATTTCTTTCTGTTGAACTGGAGTTCTGAGTTCAGTTCAAGGTCAACATTTCCTAGTTGGCCAATCCAGATATTCTACGTGAATCAGCTGTACAGCAATGTGAAGTGCACTTAACGAAAATATCAGCAAAGTACTCTGCAGGGCTCAAACACAGTAAAAGGTTCCATATGAATTTGTGAGAGAGGGTTTGTGGATAATATTTTTTGCATGTGTTGGGTTTTTTCACAATGACTTTTCTGTTGATCTTTTACCAGGTGAATTCTGTGGGGAAGAGACAGGTGACCCCCGAGGTGACTGGCAGTAGCTGGGGTGAAGTAAGGCATGAGGAGGCACATAGGACATCACTTCTTCTTCAAAGAGACTGCAGATGGAAGGTTGGAGAGGGGATGAAGGGACATAAAAAAGAAACCAATTCACTAAATGCAATTACTTCAGCAGAGCAGCGAGAAAATGAAAAAAAAAAAGGTAATAACAAGAAGGGGATACACAACTAGTCCGATTAGAAAAAGGAAAGCCAAGAAAAAAAAGAATAAGACAGAGGAGGTAAAGCAGAAATATGTCACCTTAGCAACATGACAAGGTCGGCAGATCCCGACAGCCTGGCCAATCCTGACACTCCATCTGTGCGGATCAGCTGCACTTTCTCCCTGTTGTCACAGCAACATTACAATGGCAATGCTGTTCATTAATGTATCCTATGCATGTATTTCACTTTGACTTTGGCTACTTGAGGGACAACTGGAGCAGATCCCAGTCTTTTTATTTTTGTGTTTGCAACGACAGATTTATCATAGTCAGGACATTTTGCATTGATCTTTTCACATTTCCAGGCGTATTTGAAGGTTATGATCAGATTTTAGGGCTAGTGTTTTCAGTTTGTATCAATTTATAGTTTAAATATTCATTTAACAATAATCTTAATTAATTTCTAATATGTTTTTGTAAATGTTTCATCATTTTATTATTGATTTTTATTTCCATTTTCATTTTTTGGCACTTGCTGTTTGTGCATGTCTTTGATTATTATGTTGTAAAACTTCAAAAATTAATGGAAAAAAAATGTAGCAGTAGCACAATGAACTTTGCTTCCTGCTTTGATGATTTTCTCTTCTGACAATTAGGTTTTCTTGCAATACTTAAATGTTTCTAAATATGATACCAAGGCACAGCAATATTTTTCATCTTGTCTAAGGTCTCTAATGTATGAAGTTGATTCTTGTAGTTTGTTTCCTGCAAGCTGAATCGTGTTCCTCATCAAAGCTACTTAAAACACGTTTAAGTTCTAACTGGGTTTTTCCTAATGAGCCACATTCAACATGTCTTCATAAAGTTTAGCTCAAAAATAATATTTCAGTAAAAATCTGTCAAGATCACCACCGCTTTTAGGAAGTCAATCTCTATACCATGAAACAGAAAACAAATTATGCCCAATTGGACTGAAATATCTACCAACTTGGATTTTTCATTTTTATTCTTTTTGTCATTTGAGACCCGTGGAGCAATCATAAGGTCTATGTGGAGTTTTCTGAAAACTCTTGCACTTAAACTCGACTTAAACCGTGGGAACAGACGACAGGTCTGAGGGTTAAGGCGGTGGAGATGTGGATCAGAGGGATTGGATAGTGAAGATGATTTCAAATAATGTTTGTGTACCAGACATTTCATCTAGAAAAGCTGTTTTTCCTCCCATATTGGTGCGGCAGCAAAGCTCTGCATCAATGACACATAGTGGTGTTGTTTGTGGAGTTTGTGGAGTCCTGGCACGAGAAATGTCTTTTGAATATATTTTAAGCATGAAAAATAGCACTCTTAAACTTTTACAACCCGGGGTTCGTGCTTGAAAATGACATGCCCAAAATGAAGTGATTATTTCTCTGCTATTACAAACACTTGCAAGACTTAAGGGGCCATTATGTGTAAGTATCACAGCAGATGCCATTGCATCAAAGTAACTGAGAACAAAGAAAAAATCTAGTCACCAGATTAAGGAAAGCATTATATAAACGCCAAGCTGTGCATTTCTGTATGTGTGTACCTGAGTGCATGGTTCCGGTTAAAGTCAGGCTGCCTCTCCTGCAAAATCTCAAAGATGTTTGGTTGTCGTAGAAATGCCACAATCTTCTCATTGTAAGCTAGAAAAAAGTGAACAGAAATTTTTTGTCAAATGTATTCATCTCTTCCTCTCAGATTCTTGTGTGTGTGTGCACGTGTGTGTGTGTGTGTGTGTGTGTGTGTGTGTGTGTGCTTGTGCATGCACTAACCCACTGGTATTAAGTCTTGGCATGGCCCTCTGTTGGCAGATGTGAAGGTGCTGGAAGGTCGTGGAAGAACAGGTGGGCTAACATGACGAGGGTCCTCACCCAGCTATAAAAACAGGATGTCAATAAACATGCTGCCCAGGTTTAAATGATATGTAAGCGGAGGAAGAAAACATGTAACTGTTCCTGTTATGATTAGAGGACCAATTTAAGTAGCTGTACTTTCTGTTGTCCATGATCGTTACGTGTCCCTTACCAGTCGCCGAGTGGTCACCTCTCCAGCACTGTGGCTGCGCTGGCGAGTCAGGTGTTGGCGGTGAGCGAGGAGGCTCAGCGGCCGAGAGCTTTGGAGAGGCAGCCGGGGGTCAATGAACGTAGTGGCACGGCAGTTATGGTCTACAAAGAAAGGCTAGATGGGTGTGCACACAGATACACATACAAGCTGTCAAGTGTTAATCATTTTTAATTTGATTACAGTTTTTAAAAAGTAAGAAATACTTGACAGAATAAGTGTAGAACAGTTAGATACTATTGAGGATCTGAATACAGTTTAACTGTATTCAGACCCTCAAAAAGTCATGAAATGTAGACATTGGGGCACTGACTGATTACAGTGTCAGCCCTACCTTGCCGGTCTGGTCGTGCTTCATCTCCCAACCCCTGGGCAGCTCCAGCTGTTTGTTAGCAAACATGTTGAGGAAGGCCACCAGGTCCCTGTTGTGCTGGTAGCGCTCAAAGTGATGAGCATCCCGACGAACCTTACTGATCATATGCTTCAGACATGTGTTGGTGGTGAACATGTGGTAGGCACTCTAGAACCAGGAAATAGATTCCAGTAGACAGGAAGGAGATTCAGCACAGAGGAAACACATCAAGAAAAGAGTAAGTTTTAAGTGCCTTGTGCTACTATTACACTATGTAGTCACTATCGTATGCACACATTTCAGAGGGAAAGCAAAGGGCATGGCTGTTGTGCTTACTACTCACAACCACTACACAATATAGGTGCTGTTTTGTATGAGCTGAAGCTTTGAGTCTGGGATTTGAGTCTTTTGCATGTTACAAAAATACACTATGGAGCCTCTGCAGTTACTACAGTATGTGTGTGAGGCTTTTCTAATGCTGTTAATAACCTAGTAAACACCTTCAGTATGCACCATCAAGTATTTCAAAAGATTACAATTTATTCTATCTATCGCATACATACAACGTTAAATATTTTGTCCATTTTATTTGTATGGCAATGTCAGTCTGTCAGTAAGCCTCAAGTTTGGTCAAATTAAATATGAGAATTCTGCTGAATTCTACTTTTATGCCTCTTAAAGTTTTCAGTTGCAAAATTGTGATTTTTCACAAAATACATGCGTTGTTATGGTTGCTATGCACTTGGCTTCCAGTGTGCCACTGAAGGTTTTGCAGTCTTCTCTTCATTTCCGAAAAACTTCTTGCTACTTGCTCAATTTTCACTCAACTTCCACAAATTATACATCAAAACGTAGGTATTTTTGCTGGCTTTCCAAAAATGTCACTATCATTGTTATGGGATTTATAGAATTTTGGCAAATCTCCTCAGACCAACACAAAGTCGCAAAACTCTCCATAGAAAGTCAATGGAGAGCTTGTTCAAAATCACCGCTTGATTTCTGTAATGAGAGGCATATTCGAATCGTCATATCTCCTTAACGAAGCAAAGTTAAGACATAAGGCTTGTCCCAGTATATCTTCAGACACTCCTGACGCTCACAATTCAAGAATTATTTTCTCACCTATTGCCGTTCTGAAATGAGTTAGACTTGTTTGAGGGTAGGAAATTCGTCCTTCGCTCAGATTTCTTCAGATTTCAAACTCTGGAAATGAACCACTTTTTTCTCTCGTCATATCTTTTCAATGGATTTCCACAGAGACCTGAAAATTTCCATGATTGTTCGCCTGCTGTCTCTTACGGTGAAAGAATGATATTGATACTCCAAATAGATTTAGAGTTAGAAAGCGTTGTTTGAGGGCAAGTCAAGGCAGTTTTTGCTTTGCTCTACTCAGTTATGGTGCATTAGAAATCAAATATCTTTAATAATTCATATTTTAATGATAAATTGTCAACACTGGAAGATTCCCCCATCTCTTCTGAACAAAACGGTGTAAGAATGACCGCTCTAGCCCCTACGGTTTGGAAATTATGGTCATTTGTTTGAGGGGAGTCCTCACTATGAGAAATACACTGCAAAAATCCTGTCTCTCTGTGCTGCATGCACCTGTTTTGGCGGGAAAAAGTACACAGCCTCTCTGATTGGTGGATTCAAATTCAGCAGCTCCCAGGCTGCTTGACTGAGCTAGAAACTTGCTTCTCTCTCCGTGTGTGTGTGTGTCTGTGTGTGTGTGTGTGTGACAGAGAGAGAGCGAGAGCCTTTTAATGGGATGATCTCATTGTAAGATTCAAATTCAATATATTTAGACTGGGTGACTGAATTGGATCGTGTGTGTGTGTCTCTCTGTGCATGTGTGTTTCCTTATGTGTACATATTTCTGATTGTGTGGCTGTTATATATTTTTTTGCTGATTTTTTTCATTTAACAAGTATATTTGAGGGACCCTCAGCATGTTCAGCATTTTTTCAGCTGTCCATTTTGCTTTTCCAATTTTTCTGTTTAAGTTATTACTATTGTGCTAAATCATACTATTTCTGCTATTTTATAAGATTTGTGCAAAATATAGTATTTCTGCCAAATATAGTATTTCTGATTAATTATAGTTTTTCTACCAAATCATAGTACAGTATTTCTGCTTTTTATAGGATTTTTGCTCAAACATAGTATTTCTACTAAATGTAGTATTTATGCTTAATCATACTATTTCTGCTTTTTATAGGATTTGTGCTTAATATAGTATTTCTCCTAAATTATAGTATTTATGCTTTTTATAGTATTTGTGCTAAAACATAGTATTTCTAGTAAATGTAGTATTTATGCTTAATCATAGCATTTCTGCTGTTTTATAAGATTTGTGCTAAATATAGTATTTCTGATTAATTATAGTTTTTCTACCAAATCATAGTATAGTATTTTTGCTTTTTATAGGATTTTTATAGGATATTTATATTGCTTAATATAGTATTTCTGCTTTTTATAGGATTTGTGCTTAATATAGTATTTCTGCTAAATGTAGTATTTCTGCTTAATCATAGTATTTCTATATATTTCTGCCAGGTCCCCAGGCAGCCAATCCTCTGTGAGGACTGAGGCATTCAAATTTACATATCAGGGCCTGCACGGCTTCCCAGCCAGCCAATCATATCTGAGGTCTGCTGTTTCTTCTCATGTCATATCTCAGCGACGGATGTACAGAGAGCAATGAAAATCGCGGTCAAAGTACACCAGAGTCCGCTGATTCACCCAGTACAAGAATTATGCTTCTAGTCCACCTAGTTTTTGAGTTACACAACGTTTTGTAACTCCAAAATACGGCGTTTTTCTCCTCTCACCGCGATCTAATTCTGACTGCTCATCACCCTGTTTTTCCAAGTACCTGCTCTCTTTCCCAGTGGGGCAGTTGGTAATGACACGGGTCTGCAACCCAAACGTTGTGGGTTCGATTCCACCTTAGTCAACATGTTTTTTTCCCTACAAATTAATACACTATCACAGACCAGTAATTCATATTCATCATTTATTACAATTCTGCAAACTTTTATGATTTTACCAGCTTTTCTAATATGGACCTCACATTCTTGTTAACACTCCATGGCACAAATACTCTTCCCTTTAGGCTCTGTGTATGTATCAATATTTCTCCCATTTTAAAGTATTACTCCTCCATAATTGTATTTCTGTTAAATCAAAGTACTTTTACTACATCTTAGTACTTCTGCTCAATCATAGTATTTCTGCTCAATCATAGTATTCCTGCTACTTTTTGGTACTTGTGCTAAATACAGTATTTCTGCTAAATCATACCATTTCTACTTTAATATATTTTTCTTTCTAAATATAGCATTTCTGCTATATAATTGTATTTCTGCTATGTTATAATATTTGTGCTAAACCAGAGTATTTGTGCTAAAACATAGTATTAATTTAAAATGACAATATTCATAGTTCATCACAGTGTCTCTGGTAAATCACAGTATTTCTGCTATGTTGTACTATTTTTCTAAATCATAGTGTTTCTGTAATGCTTAAGTATTTTTGGCTAAATATATTCTTTCTGTTATCTTATACTATTTCACCTAAATTCTTGTATTTTTGAGAAGTTATCATGTTTCTGGTAAGTTACAATATTTCTGCAAAGTTCTGCTATGCTATTGTATTTCTGCCAAGTATTATGTTTCCTCTAAGATATTGCAGTTCTGCTAAGTTATTCCATTTTAGCAAAGTTCCTTTGCTTCTGCAAAGTTTTTACAATTTCTGCAACTTTTCAGCTTTTTCAGCTAGTTTTTGCAGACAGCTTCAGCTTTAAAGCATCCACACTGCATTTTCGCAAGAAATGCAAATTTTTCTAGTTATTATTAATCTCCGATTCTCTTCCACAGAGTGTCTTTGTCGTTTCTTCCCAACCGGTTGCATCAGGTGTCCAGCCCCTCCCAGGTTTCTTCCTATTAAAAGGGAGTTTCTTTCCCACTCTCACCAAAACACTTCCTCAGAGGGGATCATATGATATTGGAGTTATCTATGTTTTCTTTGTATTATTGTAGGTTCTTTGCCTTACAATATAAAGCACCTTGAGGCAACTGTTTTTGTGTTTTCTTGGCTTTATATAAATAAAATTGAATTGAATTGAACAAATATAAGCAAACTCACAAACTGTGTGCAGTTTATTGCATATTGCATCTGCTAGGTGCAGCTGCTGTATTTCACAGGGAGATAAAAGAATTCAAGATAACTTGAAATGATGATGTATGAAGACAGGATACGACAGGATGAAGAGGTAAGGAGTGCTCAGTGGTATTTGATAAACTGCAAATTTAAGGCTTACATGTAATGTCATCATTTTAATTAGCTATTCGTTCTGCATATGTTGCTTTGACAAATTATGTATTTTCATATAGTAAAATGTTCTGCAAAACAAACTAAGGTATTGTACAATGTTGTACTATGGTGAGTTTGAAGTTTTACCGGTTTACAGTGGTTGAGGCGTTCGAGAGTCAGATCAAGTTTTGCAGATATTAGTTTGTATTAAGTTGGTGATACTTAAGAGTTACTCCCTAAATTCAGTATTTATACTACCTGTATTTATTTATACACTGTCCAGTATTAAGACAGTATAAACTGTATAGTGTCAGTGTAGGGGATGGACATCAGCCAGGAGGCATGAAACATCTGCTTGCATCTTGTTGAATTCAGTTGTATGAATCCACAAAAAGCAATAAACCTCAAGCAGCAGCAGGTCAGCTGATCACAGGCTGTACGCCGTGAAAATCTAGTTCACATTAGAAATTATTCATTCATATTGAAATGTTTTAGATTGATCATCAAACAAATTTTAACATGTCTTAAAATGCAGTTTTTAAATGATTTTATTTATTAAGGGAAAACATACACGTCCCTATGTGAAAAAAATGATCTCCCTCTCTAATAACTGCAGGATCGCTGTCCTGCTGCATAACCTAAGTGTATTTGAGCTTCTGATCAATCAGTCTGAAGCTCAAATACTTCTTTAGAGTGTGGCATGATGCATTGCTTTTTAAGATTTTTAAGCTGCTTTACTTTGTCAGCCAGGATCTATTTGAGTGACTTATTGATTCAACAACAACAATAATAATAATAACAATAATAATAATAATTTATTTGAGAGTGTTGATGTGGAAGTATAAAAAAAGGTCAAAAAGAGTTGTGCCATGTCTCTGTGGATCTAGAGAAAGCACATGCTGGGGTGCTGTGGAGGTGATTGAAAGAGGATTTCACGATGCTGGGTCTTTTGACTCAGCGTTTTGAGTTTTAGTTTATTTTGATGTTTATGGTTTATGTTTAAGTTCATTGGGTTTTCTGAGTTCATTTGTTTATTACTTTCCCCGTATGTTTTCAACGCCTCTGTTAAGTCTCTTTTGTCCTTTATGTGTTTCATGGCTGCATGTCTTTTGTTGTCACATCTTTGTTTCATTATGTTTCCTATTTTATTTTGAAGAGGTTCTGTGTTCCTGTGTTTAGCTTTACGTTTCCCCTGTGACGTTGTTATGCTCACTTATCCTCATTATCCTCCTGTGTGTATTAAGTCCGTGTGTTTTCAGTCATTCCTTGTCAGGTCGTCTGCTTTGTTCACGTCATGCATCCAGTTTTTGTCCATGTCTCCATGTCAGGTCCCACGTGCACGGTTTTTTCATGCTTTAATCTTAGTTCACCCAGTTTAATTTATTGTTTAGTTTCACCTTTGCCTTTTGTTTTGTACTTCTTGGCCAGCCTTAATAAACGGCTCATTTTTTGTTATTCCACGTCACGTTTCACATTCTGTTTTGATCTGCATTTGAGTCCTTTTTTGCAATACATACAGTCTGCCCCAGCCAGACTGTGACAGAGGAACTGGACGTCAGGAGTGGCAGAGAGTATGAGGATAGTGGTGAGGTGTCAAGTAAGAGTGACATGGTTTGGGGGGGTTTGGGGGTGGGATTACATCAGGTATTCGCTTTGAGCCCCTTAACTATCCGTGGTTAGAATCATAAACTATGGCAAGCCAAAAGCTGATTCTATTCTTTTGCTTTTATTCAAAATGTTTTTTGAATTTCTGCCAATGAGGAAACAAGGAAAACACTTCTGACTGTCACAGATCACAATCTATTTACATTTTTCTTAAAAAAAAACCAACTACATTTTCTTTTCTTTTTTTAAATATAACAGTAGAGTAAGGTTAGGGTTATCATCTTTGATGACCTCAAAGGGTTAATAAGTGCGTTGTTTAAAATCCCTTTCTTGAAACAAATAGAATGTGGTCTGTTATAAAAGAAAGACACATGAATGGAAGTAAAAGAATAACAAGAGATAGAATGGAAGTAAAAAGTGTCCATACAGGGTTGGAATGCAGCACAGTGAAGAATTCAGGGCTGGTGAGGAACTTGGCGCTAGGGGACTGAAGCAGCAGGGTTAGGCGAGACCTGGGACTGGACTGTGGCAAATTGCTGTCCCTACGTAGCTCTGCAAAATATACCAGAATCGTCAAAATAAAAAAAAGAAAATCACAGGGGAAGAACATGGATCAGGATTTTGTGCCGTGTAGAAGGGGGCTACCTGGGAATGAGGGTTGCATATCAGTCTCATCAGCTGAAAGCTCATTGGGTAGCTGCTCTTCTGGTCTACTGTCGTTGGTCATTGTCCTACGTATACTTTGATACCTGCAAATTTATGTGTACAGTAACAATTAATGATAATGTTACTAAAAACAAAAAAAATGGGAAGTGGCAAATTCATTTCCATTTTTAACTGAAACTTTGGACGAACATCTAGTTTGCGAATCTTCATGTGCATGTTTGTTTTCTGACCTGCGATTTAGCTGTTCCATCTGCTGTATGGAGTTAGACCTCTGAAGAGTTTGTGGGGCCGGGGGTGCGGTTGGACGTTGCCATGTTGTTGTTCTGTTCACGTGGTCCACATAGAAAATGCGACCATGGCTGTCTATGCGAGCCTCCCAATCTGGATCACACACAATGCAACAGAAGAACACATATAGTAGTTCTCCAAAAGATTCTGTTCCTCTGGACGTAGCGTTTCGTGGGAGAAACGTTTCGTCACTCATCCAAGTGATTTCTTCAGTCTGCATCAAGACATATAGTAGCTGTTTTTCATGAAAGAATATAGGTTTCTAAACTAAGGTTTTATGAACAAAAATGACATAGTAGATTATATATAATTATAATCATATATGTATAAAATTTTGGCCTTAAAGTTGCATAACTACTGACTACAATCTACAATCTAGCTGTTTTTAAGATTAAAATACAAAACTGAATCTGTGGCTTATGGGTTTATTACAAATGAGAAATTCTAGCATTTAAAGCTAAGGTTGCAAATTCAAATTCAGTAGCAAATTACACATCTGGAAAATAGTAACACACATTTGTGTCAACTTGTCTAGTCATACATACATGTAATTGGAAAGGCCTATTACAGTATTTTCCACACTGTAAGGTGCACTTAAAATCCTTTAATTTTCTCAAAAATCGACAGCGTGACTTATGTATAAATTCTGGTTGTGCTTACTGACCTCGAACTGATTTTATGTGCTACACGGTGCTCAAATATCTGTCAAAAAATGTTCTAGTACAACTTCGGTAAGCTACGAAGCCGCACTGCTTGATGGATTGCTGGAGCATTACGGCTGCCATAGGCAAGAGCCTTGCGGAAGAATCTGGGTCCAAAACTCCGTCCGCTTCAAGTCCCAAAGTCAAACGAACACTGCAGCATCACTGAGAGTTTAAAACTGTCTGAATTCTTTCATCTTTAATAAAATGATCAGCGTTGCTGCTTTACCAGGTGTAACAATTAAGTTTAACATCCAGGCATCCAGGAAAACAGCATTTATTAACAGAGTTACCAGTTAGCAGGAAGTAAGCTCGCTAGTTTCCACCTAAACATGATATAGCATGTTCTGACTGAGAGATTTCTGAAAATATTAAAACATACAGCTCTGTTATCACTTCCAACATAAATGAAGAGCGAAAACTAAACAGCAGTGACGTTTGTAGGGTTACTGAAGTTGGGCTAGCTGGTATATAATGATGTGCTACGTGACCGTAGCGACACAGCTATGTTAGCATAGCATAAACACAGTGAAGCTGGAGGATGAACGCTAACTTTTTTCCACTCGTTAATGGGAGGGTTCCCGATGGTTAGGGATAAATTGCAACGCAGGATGCTGTAAAAGGACCAAACTTCAGTCAGGAGAACAACTGAGACAATCCATCCACAATACGAGGTTAGTCATTAATATACTGCAACAACATGGGAATAGAGCAGCTACCAGAGCATTTAACATTAATGAATCAATAGTACGGAAGTGGAGGAAGCAAAAAGAATGAGTTGAGTAAAGTTTGACTTATCTGACTGCTTTGTTTCACTTTATGCACCTTATAATCCGGTGCGCCTTATGGTCTGAAAGATACGGTATCTAAATTCTTTATCACAGCTCCTGTGCTATATCTTAATAGTTCCTCAAACGGCTTAATCCAGAAGACTTCTAGGGACCCTAGTACCCTATGCATAAACCCTGACTGCTATACTCAATCTTCAAACTTGAAGATATCTGGTAAAGAAAATATGTGTATGCAGTTTCTGTGCTGTATTGTGTACTTTAATGTTCTTTAAAACAGACATATACACACACACACTCACCAGGGGGCAGTGGTTCATCTACTCTCTGGTAGCGACTGATGTCATGGCGAACAGATGGCAGGGAGTGAACAGACTGGTGGCCATTGACCTGTTCTGTGGCACCTGGATAAAAACACATAAACAAGCATCAAAATGAATATAAGAAATCCAAAAAAGTTAATTTTTTTTATAGTCATGGTTCATAACAGCTCTGCTGCTTAATATAATTCAATAACATGAAAAGGTTAAATAAACAAAATTGTTCCCTTTAAAGCCAGTGCATTATTTGTTTTGAATTAAGTGCCACTACAGTCTTTCATTAATACTTCCTGATCGCTCGGTTATTTTTTTTTTAACAAGGTTATTCATCTTTTGCTGGACTGGACCCCAAATGGCACAGCCATACCAGGCTTGGCACAGAGAAAAACCTATTGACACTTGAAGCACCCATCTGTAGGCAAAGAGCTGAAAGGGGGGTCACTGGTCACCAGTCTGCCCTCCTGTGTGTCTTTACAAATTTCATGTGCATGAATCTCAGGATTTTGTTGAAATGTTTAATAAGCCTATCCATGCACTGCATGAAAAGTTTAGTTTTTGTCAGTGAGCAACACTGTAAGCTGCTATGGAATTACAAGTTAACTCTATACAAAGGTTTTGAGGCAATAGAAGAGAGCTTAGTGTGTAAATCAGGGGTGCCCAATCCCGGTCCTCGAGAGCTACCGTCCTGCAGCTTTTAGATGCATCCTTGTTCCCACACACCCGAATCAAATGAATGGCTTGTTATCAGGCCTTTGCCAAACATGATGGCATGCTGAAGAGGTAATCAAACCATTTGATTCAGCTGTGTTGGAGTAGGGATGCATCTAAAAGCTGCAGGATAGTAGCTCTCGAGGACTGGGATTGGGCAGCCCTGGTGTAAATGAATGAATATCATGATAGTATGGAAGGGCCAACACAGAAACACAATTAAAGTAACACTTTGAAAACATCAGATCGCTACAAGAGAAAACATATTAGGTTCCGTTGAGTGAACGCTGGCGCGCCTGGCTGCTGCTGCCAACCGGTTATTGTTATTATTTTTATTATAATTTCTTCAGATGCTGACAACAATTTGAATCGTACGTTCACACTGCAGGCGAAAGCGCATCAAATCCGACTTTTCCGACCCTATGCGACCCATATCCGATCATGGTATGACAGTGTGAACGGCACAAATCTGATATTTTCAAATCCGACCTGGGACACTTTCGTATGTGGTTCTGAATCCGATACATATCTGATGTTTCAGAAAGCGACTGCTGTTTGCAGTTAGCTCCTAGCATTTCTCGACAGCTCTGCCTCCTTTTTGACTATACGAGTCTGCTCCTTCCTATTTGTGTGACCTGCTCCATATCACCACTGTTTCCAGGCCTCTCAGATCCTCATATTCATCTTACTGTTCTGCCCACGCGTCTCATCACTGTGGGGAACAGAGCCTTCAGTCACTCTGCTCCTCGGCTCTGGAACTCTCTTCCTCCAGCCATAAGAAATATAGACTCTCTTCCCGCATTATTTATATTATATCATTATTATTATTTTTATATCATGCTGGATACTGATGTGGACCGGACAATGTGTTAGGACTGAAAGGATGCCACATTCTTTTAAAGAAAATGATCCACTTATGGAGGGCTGAATTTAAAGACACTCCAAAAGTCCAAGTGAAAAACTGATGCGGCAAGCTAGTTCATTTTGCTGAAATCTTATTGCAGCAACTCAGAAAGGTACCCGACAATGTTGGGGCATGCTCCTAATGAGACGACAGATGGTGTCCTGGGGAATCCCTTCCCAGATCTGGACCAGGGAATCACTGAGCTCCTGAACAGACTGAGGTGCAACCTGATAGCGTCAGATGGATTGAAACATAATGTCCCAATGGTGCTCTGTTGTATTTAGGACAGGTTAACATGTGGGCTGGTCAATGGTAACAGTTCCTTTATCCTCCAGGAACTGCCAGTATACTCTCACCACATTATCCCAGGTATTATCATGCAACAAGAGGAACATAGGACCCACTCCACCAGTGTAGGCACTTAGAATGGTTCCAAGGATTTCATCGTGATGTCAAATGGCAGTTGGGGTCCCGTTGTCTGACTTTTAGAGGTCTGTGCGTCTCTCCATGGACATGCCTCCCCAAACCACCACTGACCCATCATCAAACTGATCATGCTGAACAATGCTACAGGTAGCATCATATTTGGAAATCATGTATCGGTATTTCAGGAGCAGGACCACGCCTCCTAACATGCTCCTTCCAGTTGTCATCTATAAATGTTCCTCAAGTTTGGCAAGCTGTTCATTCTCGTTTACTTGCCCCACCCTCCCTCCTTCCTTGTTCTCAATTCTTTAACTTCTTCACTTCTATTTAGTGCATGAGGATCTGCCAGGCCCGGGAGCCGTCACCAGTCCCCTTCGAGGCCTTCCCCAAACCGCAGCTCAATACATGTCCAAGCATCACCTTTACCTACCAAAACACTGTCAAACCTAAAATGAGGACGTGGGCCCAGCTAGTGAAGTATAAATATACTCCATGGCTTCTACTGAAAAGAGTTCAGTAGACGACGTGGGCTCTCATGCCACCCTCATAAAGTCTGTTTCTGATTGTTGTCACTGAAATTCACACCAATGACTTGCTGGAAATCCTTTTGTAGGGCTCTGGCAGTGCTCATCCTGTTCCTCCTTGCACAAAGGAGCAGACGCTGGTATTGCCAATGGGTTAGGAACCTTGTATCAGCTGGTTCAGCTCTCCTAGAGTAACCATCTCCTGGAATCACTTCCATGCTGTTGAGACCATGCTAGGAGCAAGCCTTCTGGCAATGGCACATATTGATGTGCCATCCTGGACCAGATGGCAATTTAATATGTCCGTTTCTGTCAGTATGGAATTGACGTATTGATTTCGTATTGAATATGTCATTCCTTTATTGGACTACCTTTGCAAAGTCTGTAGGGTCCAGACATCGACCCTAGCCAAATGCATAACCAGTGAAAAACGGTCCAAAAAGAAATGAGGATGTGGAGACGCAGATAATCGACAAGTAGTTTGATGGTGTCGTACCCTTGTGGGGAGATTAGGACTGTTCTGCCCTGTGTCAGTCTGGATGAATACCTGCTGTTAGTAGCTCCTTTACTTGTCCTGCCAGGTCATTGAGTGCTGTTAGTATAGAGGTAGAGGCAGTAGAGGGGCACTATTTGTGATCAACTATGAAAAGGTCACTATTGTGACCTTTAACTTTTGTGATAATTAGACCAATTAAAGTAAAAAGATGAGTTTTGGTGCAGTTTTTGGTGCATAAATACTACATGCAATAGTAAGCAGACTGTTGTGTATTGAAATGTATAATATAATGCCCTGTATACTCATAATGGTAATAGGGGTAGCATGAGGATTGGGTTGGGGCCTTTCTGTATGGAGTGTGTATGTTTTCGTCATGGCTCCTCCCACAGTCCAAACATATGCAGTAAGTGGAGTTAGTCTGTCTTCATGCATGCTCAATCATCCAGTTAAGGAAATCAGTTAGTCGGTGGTGCTGGTGTCATTCTGCAGATGTTTATAAGGTTGGGGAAACCTTCAGTCAGCTGAAACTGAAGAACCGATGATTCTAAATTGTCCATAGGTGTGAATGTGGAACATGACTACGGATGATGTCTGTCTGTGTTGACCCTGCGACAGACTGGCGATCTGTCTTGGGTGTACCCCACCTGTAATCTTATCACAACTTGGATAGCCCTCCCATAGCCCCAAAGTTTGATAAGTGGAAAGAGAATGCATGGATGGATGGAAGCTTAATAATTATAAAAATAATAATAATAAGAAGAAAATATTTGTGTCTGGAGTTGAAATGGTCAAAAGAACATTTGGTTAAACTTTTGCTCAGTGCCTTGGATATGGGTTTTTACATATGGATTTGTTGATCTGGTTAGATGTGCAAAGGTTATGTTAAACTTTCACATTGTTACACATGAAACCACTCACATTTAATGTAAAAAATATAATTACTATAATCATTAAAAGATCAGGCTGAAAATCTGAAATGTCCTGATATACATGGCCAAGGTTTTTATTTTTAAAAATGCATTTCTTACACTCTACATACTTGAATAATATGTAATGCCTGGATGAATTAAACTCCTCTGGTATGGACAGATCTATTGCTCAAGATAGCTGCATTACAGAAGCAGAAAAATTATTCAATATGTTGTTAAAGAATTAGGTTTGTTACACATGAGGATAAAACTACAGCAGAATGTTAAGACTTGTATTCTTGTTCTTACAGTATGTGAACAATGTGGACCCAAAACAGTACAAACAGAAAACTGCGTAACATGATGACGAGCAGACAAAAGCTGAGGGTACAAATAAACATGGAGACACTTGCAGAAAGTGAACATACAGGTGCAAGCAACTGGGAGATCGTGGCTGAGGAAAGTAGAACTGAATAAAACACATAAAAAAAACTATCAAAATAAAACAGCAAATAACATACGAAGGAACAGTTATAACTATAAAACCTGAAGACTAAACAGAGTATAAAAAGCAGACAAAACCTGCAACCGGAGATTTGCACAATCAAATGAAAAACTATGAGTGAAAACAAAAGGAGTCCTTTGAATGTATTTGGTACTCCTGTATTTTTTCTGTTTCTTTTTGTATACTTTATATAATAAAAATGAAATCGTGTTTGAAACTTTTTTTCAGTGCCTTTAGCAAAACTTTTTGTGACAGAACCTACCAGCTTTAGATGTCATGCTTCTTCCTTGCTCAGCCATGCAGGTGGATAGCGAAGGTGGTGCTGGCCCATTTGCCTCACTGCTTGATGGCTCCCCCGGTTCCTCCTCTGCCTTTGGAACAACTGCTTTTCTTGTTCTCACTTCCTGAAAAAAATGAGAGAGGAAACATGCAGGGGTGAAGCTTTGTCAAAGCTCTTGTCAAGATGACAGTGATTGTCAGCAATGAACTATTGATAATTTATAGTTTCACTTCAGCTTTTAAAGGTAATCTGCCACATGTAGAACCAATATTAAAGAGGGATGATGCTCCTAAAGTCACAGTGCCTCACCTGAATGGGTGAAAGAGGACCAAGTGAGGGATTGCAGTGTACTTCTGGGTTTTTCCCAGTCCTGATGCTGTGCTCCTGACTTGGACATTCCCCTGGAGATTCTCCAGATCTGACTTCAGCTGCCTCAGCCCTTGATACCTGAGATGAGTTGGAAGCTGTAGCAGTTTCTCCAACAACCTGTGCAGCCATTGTTCTGGCAGCTTCTTCAATTCTATCTGCTGATTGTCGTGTCTGTATTGGGAGTGCAGCAGCACCTTCTTGTGCTCCTGCTCCAGCTTCAGGCCCTGCAGTGTTGGCTCCAGACTGAGCACCAGCAGAAGAACCTGCCTCTCCCGTGGCCTGAACTCCAGGCCCTGCCTCACATGAGCCCTGTGACTCGCCTTTTGAACCACTGCTCCCCTGTGGAGACTCAGGTGTAGCTGAGTTGGTATTCTGCTGTGTCTTTGTTTCCAGCGATTGATCCCAGTGCTGCCCAGCTCCTTCCTCATCCTCATCTGAGTCAATGTGTAGCATGGCACTGAGCCGTGTGTCTGTGGGAAAGCTGGAGCTGAGCTTTGGTAATGGCCCTGCTGCAGGTCGGTCCCCAATGCTCCTGGGACCTTCGAGAGAATCTAGGTAGTCATTAAGTGACACCTGCCTTTGGGTGAAGCTGCCAAGAGCCACAGGAAGCAGATTCACCTCTCCCACTTGCCCAGGCTCCTGCCACACACTGTCATCGCCATAGTAACATGAACCATTAACATATAAGGAGCCCTCATCAGAACCAATGCGAGAAGGTCCACATGTAGCACCTAAAGACGAGGGGAGCTGATGGAGATCTTCGTCGTCAGAGGGACTCCCAGGGTCACCATTCATCACACCACCCAGGATCGTTCCCAGAGGGTCTGGCGAAGCTTCTAGAGCAGAAAAGAGGATGGATGAGAAGGACAGGATGTGACAACTGAGAGATAAATAACGTGTGCTTTCATGACATGTTAGCAGAACAAAAACAACACCTCCCACTTCCTCGTCTTCTTCTGGCTGTTTCTGTTAGGGGTTGCCACGGGGGAACATCTTATTCCATCTCGCTCTATCTCTAGCATCCTCCTCTGTCACACCAATTGTTTGCATGTGCTCCTTCACAACATCCATGAATCTTCTCTGTGGTCTCTGTGGGTGCTGGTCACGCCCAGAGAAAACCTTAGCATCTTCAGCTCTGTCACCTCCAGCTCGGCCTCGTGTCTTTTTGTCACTGTCTCCAAACCACTCACCGTGTAGACCAGGTTTCGCTACAATCTTCTAAACGTACTCTTTCATTCTTGCTGCTATTGTAACAAATCACACCGTGACACCCATCTCTATACACTCCACTCTGCTTGCCCCTATCTTGTTCACCGCTCTTGTGTACTGTCCGTGGCTTTGGAAGGTTGACCACAGGTACTTGAACACACCCTGCTCCTCACTATTACGCCTTTCTTATTTACACACATGTATTTTATCTTGTTTTCACTGACTTTCATTCCTCTTCTCTCCACAGCATGCCTCCACATGCATGTGGCATGTGGATCTTGGTCATTTTTTTGGCATGTTTTTATGGCCCTCGCAGTGCTTTTGTTTTTACATTTTGCAACACACCGCTGCTGCCCAGAGTTCCACAGGAACTCAAGAGGAGACATCAGGCCAGAGCAAGAGTTAAAACAAGGAGAAGGGAATATAAATCCCCTGTTCCATCAGTCATCATAGGGAATGTGAGGTCTCTGACTAATAAGATGGAGCTGATAAAACATCAGAGGCAGTATTGGGAGGCAGCTTATTATGCATGGAGGCATGGCTGCACTCAGTGCCACCGGCTTCGTCATCTGGCTTTTTCACTGCTCGGGCCAACAGAGAGGCCAAGCTGAGCAGTTAGAGGAAAGGTGGAGGGATTGCAGTGTTTATTAATGAAAGGTGGTGTATTCCAGGATATGTTACTGTGAAGGAACATCTCTCCTCACCTAACGTTAAACTTTTAGCTGTCAGTGTGCGCCCATATTATTTATCGCAGGAATTCTCCTCCACTATATTAACTTTTTTTTGTACCACCGTCAGCTAATGGTGCAGCAGCGTGTAACATCATACATGCAACTGTTGATGGCCTATAGTGTAAACACACAGAGGCATTGATCACCATCAGTGGTTATTTTAACCATGTCAGTCTAGACTCCACTCTGCCAACTTTCCAGCTGCATGTGGACTGTAAAACACAGGACAAACGAACAGTTCTCTCTACAACTTCTGTTCCCTTTCAGTCGATTCACTCGGTACAACACATAAGGCTGGGACATATATACACGTCCCGCAGAGCAGCCACCGAACTGGAATCGGACCACCACCACCTTAGTGTGCAGCAGACCAAGCAGACAGGACAGTATGAGCCACCGAAGGGGCTGTAACATCCAATCGATAAAACCAAAGCAAACCAAAGTGTGCGAGTGAAAGTTCATATCCACAGACTCAATGGGTTCAAACGGGGGCTACAAACGGCCTCCAGCACCAAAGATAAGTCCCAAGCAGGGACACTGGACTTAAGCACAGGTCTCAGCCAGCGAACCCCTTTCAGAAAACATATGGCAAGGGGATGTGCACCTGGTGTCACCCCATCAAAGCCAACATGACAAGCAAATATAGCCGCTAGACAGACCTTAACTGTTGAAAATGAAAGGCCCGTATTCAGCAGCTCCTGCAGGAATGTCAAAACATCCACAATAGAGCACTGAAATGAGTATGGAGGTCCTGGCACCATTGCTCGAAGGCTCACCATTTGTAAGCGTACACATACACACCTTCTTGTCCAGCTGAAGTGATGTCCACTCTGAACATAAGCTGCCCGCTCACATGGTCCATAGGAAGACGACGACACAGGCTGTAGCTGACTGTCTGATCACTGCACACACATAAACAATTGTTTTGTCCCTACTGACAAACACCTACTAGCATTTCAATACGGTACAGAAAACAAGCTCTCTTTCCTCAGCACACTGATCTCAATTCAATCAACAATCTGCATCAACTACATTCTGCTGATTTATATGCAGTTTTCCACAATGGGGAATTTATTGGTAATTTCTGTGCAACTTGCCTGGAGACTGACAATTGTTGTTAACACTGCACAAACTGTATGCCATCATTGCTTACTTAAATTAATGCCTGACCAGCAAGCTGGTTGGGAATTATGGATAGGTACTGACTGAACTACATAACTACTACCCTCCAGAGAAGGTTGCTCTTTCTGTCTTAAAGAACAACCTTCTATGAAAGAAACGTAAAAAAAAAGTACAACACACGTGACACCGTCACTGACGCTGAGTCTGACTGACTTTCCTTGCACAGTTGTTTTGTCCTTTACCTGTTTTTGGTTCTGAACCCATCTCATGTTTGGCTCTGCGTGCCAACTTACTCAGCAGCTGGCCGTTCCAGAAGTCTCCGGATGGGGATGATCAGCTGGCCCAGGAAGCGCTTGATGATTGGCCGGCTCTTGGCAAACTTGTCCTTCACCTCAATCTCCAGCACATCAGTTATCAAAGCCACAAATGTATATTTCTAAAGAAAGAGTAAATAGCAAAATGCTGGAAAGTTTAGTATATTTATACAGTTTTGCTTGCATTACATAAAGTTAATTATTGACTCTGCCCAGTGACTCTACCTGGCCTACCACTTCTCAGTTGCTGTCGTTCCTAATCATTTCTACTAACAGTTGACTGCAGAATATTTACAGTGGGGCAAAAAAGTATTTAGTCAGCCACCGATTGTGCAAGTTCCCCCACCTAAAATGATGACAGAGGTCAGTAATTTGCACCAGAGGTACACTTCAACTGTGAGAGACAGAATGTGAAAAAAAAATCCATGAATCCACATGGTAGGATTTGTAAAGAATTTATTCTGGTCGATTCTAGCACCAGTTTTCTACAGAACGTTGTTGGAAATTAAAGAAAAGGGCAGACTTCCATCAAATATGAATTCTGCAAACATTAATCTCCTGCTAAAACCAGGCAAAGACCCTGTATATCCCTCAAGCTATCGTCCAATATCCCTTATAAATGTAGACCTTAAAATAATCTGCAAAGCTCTCTCAAAGAGACTGGAGAAAATAACCCCCCTTATAATTCATCCTGACCAAACTGGTTTCATAAAAGGTAGGCACTCATCAACAAATACACGTAGATTACTTCATTTGATAGACTACTCATACAGTAAAAACCTAGAAACTACAATATTCTCTTTAGACGCAGAAAAAGCATTCGACAGAGTTAACTGGAAATTTCTATTTGCAACTTTACACAAATTTGGTTTTGGATCCTCTTTCATAAACTGGTTAAAAATATTATATAATTCCCCAACAGCTTGTGTTAGAACAAATGACCAGACATCCTCCAGCTTCTGTCTCTTGAGGGGCACCAGGCAGGGATGCCCACTCTCCCCTTCACTGTTTGCAATTTTTATTGAACCACTAGCAGCAGCAATTAGACAGAATTCAGTAATTAAGGGCATAAAATGCAAGAACGTGGAACATAAAATCAGCCTTTATGCGGATGATGTGTTACTCTTTCTCCAAAATTCACAAACCAATGTCTCTGGGGTGATTGAATTGATAAACTCTTTTGCAAGAATATCAGATTACTCAATTAACTGGTCAAAATCTACAGTCCTACCGATTAATTGCTCCTTCCATAATTCCTCTTCTACACCACTGCAATCGGGAAATATAAAATATTTAGGTATTAATGTTTCTCCCAAGCTTGCAGATCTAACTAAATTAAACCATATCCCACTTTTAAAGAAGGTAGAAGATGATCTGGCTAGATGGAAATGTCTACCCATATCACTCATGGGAAGGGTTGCCGCTATAAAAATGATGGTCTTACCAAAAATAAATTATTTATTCTCAATGATCCCAACTAAACCGCCACAAGATTGGTTCAGATCTCTAGATTCATGTATGTCCAAATTCCTTTGGAAAAATAAACCCCCACGTATAAGCTTAAAAACACTACAAAAGACCAAGGATAAAGGAGGACTAGAACTGCCTAACTTTCAGCACTACTTCTTAGCCAACAGGCTTCAGTTTATCTCAGGATGGCTAAAACACACCCTCTTAGATGAACCTTGGCTAGATGTAGAACAAGCACTCTGCAATAATCTAGAGATCTCAGACCTACCATTTATCAGCTCAAACATCCAACGACATGAATGCTTTAAAAGCATCAACATCAGCTCTTCTCTGACAGCATGGTGGGAGTTTCTAAAATTGACGGCGTCTTCATTAATCCCATGCAAACGTACACCTATCTGGAACAACCCTGACATATTACAAAACAATAATATGATAAACTTTTCAGATTGGAGTGATAAAGGAATCAAATATTTAGAACATATACTAGAAGGAACAGAATTTATCTCATTTGACAGACTAGTTACACAATATGGGATCAACAAGAAAAGATTTTTAGAATATCAACAAATTAAATCCATAGTAAAAAAGAAATTTAAACCGGGTCAAGTTGAACTACAAACACCACCAAGTGTGGTTCAATTTCTTACTCTTAAACCCCCCAGATTACTATCCAAAATATACAGAATGCTTTCTAAAACAGATGAATCAATATCACTTCCTATTGCAAAATGGGAAGCGGATTTATCAGTTAACTTAGACCTAAACTTCTGGTCTCAGATTATCTTAAAAACCTTTAATCTAATTAGAAATCCCAGTCTTCAATTAATTCAATACAAAATATTACATAGAGTGCACTATACAGGTCATCGGATGTTCAAGATGGGCTTTACGTTGTTGAAAACACGCAGTTCTTTGAATCTTTGGGCTGAAGGAAGGACACTACTCGGTGTATATATGCTCAATCAACAAACATTTATTTCGGTACAATTCACAACAAGAGCATTACAACGTCCGGACGGGAGAGATGCTACCAGAGGGTCAGGCACATGTCTCAAAATGGTGACGGGTTGCTCAGCTTTTTATAGTCTCTAGTGGCCCCCAGCTAGTCGTAAAAGCCAAAACATCACATTTTTTCTCTGTTACAGCGCCTAAGTTATGACCTCGGCAGTTGTTTCTCTGCTTTCTGTAAGGTGGGGGTGTGGAATGTGGTCTGTCTATCTCCCCTGTCTTTAGACACAGAGTCTCCTGCTTACAACCTTCTCTTCATGATTCAACAATTAAGCATGTCAAGAAAACAGTGTAACACATTCCCAGCAGATCAAGGATACAGAGTGATGCACATTTATCTAATAAACTAATATGTGAATATGTTCTGTTAACTCAAAAGTATAATGAGAACTAAACTACATACAGATCACACACTCTATTTTAAAGGGTATAATATGATCTACAACAATATCATAATTCAACTATTTTGATTACATCTATAAGGTAACATATAATAACAGAATAATATCACAACGTCTACCAACAACTGCTCACACTGCCAAACCAATTCACCGGACAATTATATCCACGCTCTTTGGTTCTGTCCACCAGTTCAGAAGTTTTGGCGCGAGATATGTGAAGACTTATCAAAGTGTCTGAAATGTAACATTCCAACCTCCCCCTTAGTGTGTTTGTTGGGCAGCTTAGATAATGTCACTTCAGAAAAGAATATAGCCCATATGATCTTCACTGCCCTATGCATAGCCAAGAAAACAGTCCTCATGAACTGGAAAAATAAAAATAATCTTAATTCTAACCAATATAGAAATTATCTATTAGATTACATTAGTCTTGATACAGCCTCTGCCACCACATCAGATCAATTGCTCTGGGCTCCTTTGATCAGCTCCATCACCTAGTGGGGGTGGGGGGTCATAGTTTGGTCCCGCCTTCACTGTTGTGATTGGTGTGGGGGTAGGGACAGGCTTAGGGCGTCGGGGGGTTCCCCGGAGGCACCTTCCTTGGGGGGCTCAACCCGGGGTAGCGGTCATGTCCGGTTAGGGGCTCTGTTGGCTCTCAGGTGACTGTTTCCTCGCGGCTGCGTGCAGCGGGGCTAGGGGAGGGTCTGTGCTGACGGACGTGGGTTACTGACCTGGTAGCCTGGCTGCCCCTGGGTGGGCCCGGGATGGGCGTGAGGTTCTGGGGGCGCTCCGTCTCTGGGCTGGGACCCGGACCGGGCCTCGGGGGCTTGGGTCCTGGTTGGTGTGTTGCCGGGGTTGTGGGCGGGTGGGTGCATGGGGGCCCAGCCCTGGAGCAGGGTGCCGCCGGTGCATCGAGCCACCTGGGGGGCTCTTCAACTGGTGGGGGAGATTGTCACATCTTGCAGGAGCTTTCCTCTCCTCAGGAGCTCCCTCTGCAGGAGGGGGAGATACAGGAGAGGTGGAGGAAGATCTCAGCCTGGGTGTTTATTGTCTTATGTAGTCTGGAAGATGAGTGGATGGTGGGGTGGGTGCAGTTTTCTCTGTGGTGGGGTTGGGTGGACTGTCCCGGGCTCTGTGGGGCCGGGAGGCGCTGCTGCGCTGGGTCCCGGTCTGGATGGGCCTGGGCCCCCTTTCCCTGGCGGGTCGGGGAGTGTGGGGGTGCCTACTGGGGTCAGCGGGGGAGCTGGCCCCAGGGAGGGGTCACTTGCCCCTCCCTTCCTTCCCTCCCCATCTCCAGCTGCCTCCCTCTTCCCGCTCCACCACAACCACCCACACATGCAGGGCCTTGGAGTAGGGGTATGTCACCAGGGTGCAGAGGAGGCTACCCCCCCTCTGTCCCCTTCTGGCTGCCTCTGCCTCAATTTTATCCCACAACTTAGACATTCACATTACTCACACTCTCATTACACATACATATAGGATCTTGGGGGTGGGCACGATACACGGAGTCCAAAGTACCATCAGGGTGTACACCCCACCCCTGGCATCGTTGCCCACCTCTCAATTTTAAATACACGTAGACATTGAGGGCTAGCAGGAGGGACCATGCGCTTACCTGCTGCTCTCTGGCAGGTAGCTCCAAGCCCTCCTGGGTTTTAAATGCACCTTAAAACACACATGCATCAACACTACAATGAGTGGGTGGAGGGAGGTTTGGAGTCTTCTCTCACCCCCATTCTCTGCGACCTGCTGGAGCAGGGGGGGCTAGGAGGAGGAGTTGGCCGTCCGACTGCGGTCTGGAGTGTGGAACCTTCCTGCTGCTGCGGAGTCGGGGCGGTCTGCCTCCCCCCACCGCAGGGAAAAGGGAAACACCACCTGGGTCTGGGTGCAGTTCCCCCCTCCAGGGGCGGGGGCACCTAGACCCGGTTTGTAGAGTACGCTTGGGGAGTGTGATTGTGTGTACAACGTCTCTTTATGTCTGTCTCCACGTTGGTTGAGTGTGGAGTAAGTGCATATGAGCGCATGAGGGTGGGAATGGATGTTTGTATCTGTGTGTGCCTGTATGTCTGTGTCTATATGTCAGGTTGGGTGTCAGGCGCCACCTCTCTGGGGACATCTCAGGCCCTCCAAGGTTTGGAGGCCTATCTCCCCCTACCACCACTTCCCCTGCCAGTGGCGGACCCCCTCAGACATCGGTGCGTTGGTGGTTCTTTGTGTTCGGGGATGGGCGTCCAGGTACA